TAATTTTATAGTAAAATTTTTATTTTTATTTTTGCTTTTATGATTTAAGAATTGAGTTGATTTAATAAACTGTTTAGTAATATTTGATAGTTTAATGAATGAAAAAATTTGTTCAACATTTATTCAATACAACAATTATTACTTAGATGTGAAATATATATTCTTAAAAAGGGAAAAAAAAATGTGAGATACAGTGGCGTAGCCAGGAATTCAGTACAGAGGGAGCACAAATTAATCATAATTTGGTTTCATTTTTCTAAAAATACTTTTCAGAAAATTCTACTTTCTTGTTTTTCATGTTTTTTTGTTTTTACTGATTTTTTTTTAATATTTTAAGATTTTTTTTTTTTTTTTTACTTTTTAGACATACCAACATAAATATACCTAAAAAGTAAAAAAATTATGAAAAAAACCATTTAAAAATTCACTAAATACCAAAAATATAAAAATATGAGAGTACATTTTTTATATTTTTATGTATTTATTAATTTTTTAAAATATTTTTTCACAAATTTTTTACTTTTTAGATACATCTAAGTAAGGTGCATCTAAAAAAGTAAAAAAAATGTTTAAAAATATTTACTAAAAACCAAAAAAGCACGAAAATAAAAAAATTCAATTTTCAAAAAACTTAATCCAAAAAACTCAAACCAAACACAATGATTAATTTTTTTTTTCATAATAAACAACAATGAGATATTACTAAACTTAAATGTTAAGAGTTCATTTGGATAAATGTGAATTTTAAATCAAATGATTTGAGATTAAATTTTATACAAATTTTGGAGAGTAACTATTTTACAGGTGGATTGAAAAATTAAAAAAGTAGATATGTTGAGACAGAAATGATATATTTTAGTAGATAAATTCTATAAAACATACCGTAAAAAAAATATCTATCATATGTCGCAATTATGGTCTTTGTGGTTTTCAGTTATAGCACATTATCGTGTTAGATATAATTTAGTTATAATTTCTTATGATTGTTATCTTAGTTATGACTATATATCAAGTAATAGTTAGTTATGACTCATTCTGATATTAGTTATGACCTATTGTAATTTTTTTCATTTTTATAATTGAAGATGTGTTGCTTGATTATAATTTATATAGTGGTCATTTTAGTTATGAATGGAAAGAAACACATGAAAGATAAACTTTACATGTTAAATGTAATTAACAATTCAATAAATTCTATATCTTCATTGAAATTTATTATGTTTGCATGTTAATAATAATAGGCATCATAATTATATTGAAATTTTTATAGATAATAATATAGCCTCTTTATTTTCAATCAAAATAATCATTATTATTCTTATAATTTTAAAAATGTAATTGACATTTCACTTTAAATAATATTTTTATAATCCTTTTATTTAATATATTTTTTTTTTGTTTAAAAGAAAAAAAATTCCCAAAACCCAAGAGGGCCACGTGACCCTCCTCAGCCCAGCCCAGCATGGCTCCGCCCCTGGTGGGATATGTGTTCCCACCAATTAAGTTGTACATTTTACATAAGCATTCATTTTAAAAAATTGTCAAAAAAGTTAATTTATTTATATATTAACTTATTTAAATCATATTATCTCATTACTTTTTATACTTCTTTTCATAATAAATAAAAAAAATCAACTTTTTTAGCACTTCTCAAGGCAACCCACAATAAAAATAAGACTTTTATTAACATGTGACAAATGTTAAAAGACATTAAATGAATATATTTATTTCAATTTGTATAGAAAATAGCACAATATTAAAAGTTGTTTGAACTAAGTTTTTATTTTTCTGTTCCAACAAAAAAAAGCTTTTATTTTTATTTTTATTATTTATATATATATATTTATATTAAAACTAAGGGATTATTTGAGATGACCTAAATAAGTGCACTAGTCTTTTTACAAAAAGATGTACAGAAAAATAAAAAGGTGATGTGATGAAAAAAAGATAAAAAGATAAAAAAATAGATTATTTTTGAGTTATCAAACTTGACCTAAAATACCTCTTTTGCTATGCACCATTCTACTCCCTTATTTTTATATATCTATTCACTTTCCTTCAAATTTAATGTTTTATATTATTTAAATTTGGACGTGTTCCCCAGAGAAAATTTTAAAATAATTTTTTTTTGAAACATAAAATAATATTTAAAAGTTTAAATATATATTTATATTTGTTTTTGTTAAACTAATTTATAAGTTTTTAAAAAATAAATTCAAAATACAAATTCTAAAAATTAAATCAAATAAAAATATTTTACAACTAAATTTTTTCCCACAATACCTTCATAACTGTTCGTAGGGTTCTCACACAATATTAGTATAGGTTTAAAAAAGACAAAAACCAAAAATATATATAGGATCGTTTTTATTTTTATTTTCTTTTATCACACTATGTAGTATACTTAAAAAAAAAATGTCATATGAAAACAGGGGTATTTATGTCCATATGAAAAAAAACTAACTCTTTAAAAATATTCAGTGTGTTTGATTTCAATTTTCTGAATTCAATTTTTTGGAAATTGAGTTTTTTTTGTCGTGTTTTTTATTTTTATTTTTAGTGAATATTTTTAAAACTTTAAGTATTTTTTTTTACTTTTTTACATGCACCTTATTTAGTAAAATATTTGTAAGAAATTAATAAATATAAAAAAATATGAAAAATGCATTGAATTTTTGTATTTTTAGTATTTAGTGAATTTTTAAAGATTTTTTTTCACAAATGTTATACTTTTTAAGTGTATTTATGTTAGGTGTGTCTAAAAATTAAAAAAATTGTTTAAAATATTAAAAAAATTCAATGAAAATAAAATAATACAAAAAACAGAAAAGTAAAATTTTATAAAAAGTGAATTGTGAAAATTGAAACCAAACAAAATATTCTATCCAAATGAAAGGAGTTAATAACCCTTTATTAATTTTGTAACATGGCCTAAAATAAAAACGAAATAGAATAGATGTATCATAGCCCGGGGGATGTTTGGCAATAGGTTTTTTTTAGCTTTTTGAACTAAAATGTTATTCAAAAATAAAATAAATTAAAATAATTAATAAGGAAAACGTCATATCAAATCTATAATTTTTTTTAAAGTCAAATTACACTAACATTCTTATAATTTAGAATTTGTGTCACTTTAGTCCCTGACTTTTCAATTGTGATACATTTGATCTTGAATTTTGAATCTTGTTCCAAAAAAAAAAAAATTGAAGATATAATTGTTTGATTTCAAGGTTAAATCGTCAATTTAATAAAATATAAACTAATTTGACAAAAATAAATATCAAAAAAATATTTTTAATTTTTAAAAATTATTTCTATCCACTAAAGATAAAATTATATAAAATTGATCAAAATTAATAAAATTACATGATTAATTTTTAAAAATTAATTTTACATGATCATCATCTAAAAACATAATTTGGTAAAAAAAAATAAATGTCTAAAAGATTTATCAATTTTACATAATTTTATCTTTAGTGGTAGAAATAATTTTTAAAAATTGAAAAATATTTTTTTGACATTTATTTTTGTCAAATTAGTTTATATTTTATTAAATTGATGATTTTACCCTTGAAAAATCTAATGGTATCTTCAATTATTCTTATTTGGAACAACATTCAAAATTCAGGATCAAATGTGTCACAATTGAAAAGTCAGAGATTAAAGTAACACAAGCCCCAAACTATAGGGACTATTAGTATAATTCACCATTTTTTTTAATAAACATCACATCTAATTATAAACAAAATTTAATCATTTTCCCAAATACAACTATTTTAAGTTACTAAAATAACTAAAAATTAAAACACTTCTTCCGTCCCAAAATATTAGTCGCTTATTTTATTTTTCATTGTTTCAAAATATTAGTACATTTTCAAAAATTAAGAATTAAAATAATATAAATTTCTTATTTTGCCATTCTTTTAAATTCATTAATAACACAAACGGTACAATTATGACAATTGATATTCTTTTAAAAAAATATACTATTAAAAGATAATTTTAAAAAAATAATATTTTTAAAATGTAATAATTATATTACCAAAAAAAATTAAATTATCTAAAAAAAATTTCAAAATTACTTTTCTCTTTATTACACATCAATCAATTACTTTTTCTCTTTTCTTTTTCATTCTCAATCATTTTTTCTCTCACACATATCTATTAAATTATAACAAAATATCAAATCATCCCAAACTCCAAAACTATTTTTAAAATATATAACCATACAAACTAAAAAAATTCTAAATTTTCTTTTCAAATTTTTTTTAAAAAATTTATTTCAAAATATTAAAGAGTTGTTTAAAATGATTTAAATAAATATACTTTTTATCTTTTTATAAAAGATATTTAAAAAAATATAAAAATAATATAATAAAAAAATAAAAAAATAAATTATTTTTAAACTACCAAACTTAAACTCATCAAACCCGCCCTATTATTTTGAAAGAAGAGGGAGTAGTCAATTTCTCAAGCACCTCCTACAATTTCCAAGTTGTTGTCACCTATAGTTTCCCAATAATTAGGTCAAGTTTGGCATGGGTTGTAAAAAGATAAAAAGTCAAAAAGTCACTATCCTATTTAAGTCACATCATCTTATTTAAATTACATTACCTCTCTAACACATCACTTTAAACCCAACCCATATTTCATAAAAAATCAAAAAATATACTTATTTAGATCATGCCAAACAAGCCTTTAAAGGACTTTCAATTAATTTGTAATCCAATTCTTAAATTCAACTCGGTCAAACTTCGCATACCTACCGCAACGTTAATTCATTCAAGAAATACAGCTGAAACATGTCGACCAATAAGAATCGAGTATTGAGTTCTTACGATCCGATTAGAAGCCCCAGCTTTACATCTCATCCGTCCACTGCAGTTCAGAAAACACAACTATCCCTTCCCGTCACCGTCCAATAAAGCACATGGATAATCAATCTTCACCGTCCGATTGTCTTTTCTCTCTCCCCCTACCCCGCTATATATACCCATCCACCAGTGAGCATTACAACATTTTGATTCGCGAGAGAGAAACAGATACAGAGACAAACAGGAGGTGAAGACTTCAATCGTTCTTGAGGTTAGAGGTAAGTCTCATTTTTGTATTTTGAATATCTAATTAGGGTTTCTATTGTACCTTTTCTGACTCGTTCATGGTGATCCCTGAGTTGGTGCTTCGTGCTTTGTAGTTTTGTTTGATCTTTTGTTCATTTTATTTTATTTTATTTTAGATAGTTTCATCTCTTCATTTTAGTGTTTAGGGGGTTTGTACGTTTTTTAAAAATTAGGGTTTCTTTGGTGAGATCACAATTTGTTGAAAATATGGGTAGGAGGGTTAGTTAATTTCGAATTATTGATATCAACGATGAGATTTTTGATCGTTAATTTGGTTCGGATGTTCACATATTCTTGTTTGGAATGGAGGCATCCAGTTAGGGCTTTCAGATTACGAATATGAAACCACTATTTAAGAAAGACATAAGATTTAGAATTTGAAAATTAAACTAATTTTGTGGGTTGAATTAGATGGCTCGTACCAAGCAGACTGCTCGTAAGTCCACCGGAGGAAAGGCTCCTAGGAAGCAGCTCGCTACTAAGGTCTCTCTCTCTATTCATTTATCATATTCTCTCAATTGCTCTGAATTGTGTTAATGATGATGTTGGTTGTTGCTGCAGGCTGCTCGTAAGTCAGCCCCAACCACTGGAGGTGTGAAGAAACCTCACAGATACCGCCCTGGAACTGTTGCTCTTCGGTGAGTGTTTGATTTCTACAAAGAAGTTTATATAAAATTTTCGAGCTGTGTGTGATGTATATATAAGTGTAATTAGCGAGTGAATTATTTGTTTTCTTAATTGATGTGCAGTGAAATTCGCAAGTACCAAAAGAGTACTGAGCTCCTGATCAGGAAGCTTCCATTCCAGAGGCTTGTACGTGAAATTGCTCAGGACTTCAAGGTAATTGAAGGGTCTCAATTGTTAAAAACATTTTTGTATTTTTTATTTTATTGTAATAATTGCTAATTGCTTGTTTGTGTGTTGATTTTGGTTGCAGACTGATTTGCGTTTCCAGAGCCATGCTGTGCTAGCACTGCAGGAGGCTGCTGAGGCATATCTTGTGGGTTTGTTTGAAGACACTAACCTCTGTGCCATCCATGCCAAGCGTGTTACAATCATGCCCAAGGACATTCAGTTGGCAAGGAGGATCAGAGGTGAGCGTGCTTAATCGAGCGTTGTGCTCAGGTGGTGGTGGTGGTGGTGGTGGATTGTGGTGGAGGTGGTCCTTTACTGTTAAGCCATATATAGATTGATAGTCTAAGTTTTTAGTGAAATGGGTAGTGGTTGGTGTGCAGTGATGTTTTTTAGGGGACCTATTATGGGTTTGCACCCGGCAAATTTCTTTGTTTAGTTGTGTTTTGTGTTGTCAAACACCACTGGGGCGTTGAACAATCATCTAATGTTTGCATCTAATGTTAGTAGGGGGGTTTGCGCTAATTCTTCCTTCTTGATATTATGTTTTGTTCAATTTACTAGTTTTGATTGATGTTGATGGATACAAATATGTGAGTGATGACAATCATGGTAAATGAGGGGCGTGGTGAAACAGCTTGTTTTGTGATTCAGGCAGGATGCTATGAAAAATTATGGCCAATTTGTTCTCTATGGTTTTGTGATTCATGGGGGGGCATCTGCACTCATTTGGAGTTGGTTTTCTTTGCCTTCGTCTGGATGTGGGTTTGTTTTATTTTATTGGTAAAAAGCTCCGATTGAGGTGGATTTTTTTGATTTTTTTCAATTTTTGTAAGAAAAAAAAAATGATTATACTACAGTATGAATTTGATATTTTATTTTATTAAATTAAACAATTTATTTTATTTTTTTATGATTAAAATATCAAATTTTTTTAAAAGTTTATTTTATTTTATTTTTGATTAAAATACCAAATTTTTATGTGAAATGGTTAAGAAAAAATTAGATTTTTTTTTTAAACTTTAATTTAATTTTTAAATAGGATTTATGTGTGAAAGTTGACAGTTTAAGTAGAAATACGTTTTATGTTGCGTTTTAATTTGTGTAGTATATTTGGTTGTTTAAAATTATAAAGTGAGTTTTATGACCGAAAGGCCAACAAGGAACGGTTGTTTATTTTAAATCTAATGAGTCTTTTCTCACGTTGTCAATTTTGTTATTCTCTTTGTATTTTGTTGTATTATTTTTTGGTGAGAAAGAGGGTAAATACAGGGTGTTCATTGTGTGAATAGTTTGTAGTGGTGTTACTATCTATTGTTGATCATTTTATTTTGAGAGATAGACGTTTACAATTTAAAAGTATCGTAAAGAGGACGAATCTGTTTTAAGGATGTAACGTTAAACATTAGATTTAATCAAAAATTTGTTCGACAGATTTATATGGTAAGTAATTAATTTACTTTTTATTTTATCTATTTTTATGAAATTTTAATTTTATTTTTGTAATAAAATAAGAATCTATTTTAATTTTTTTATACTGTTTTGATTTTTGTAATTATACAGTTTCTTTCATTTTTTTAATTTTTTGAATACAGTGAAGATTGTCTAACAATCTTAAGACAAATTTATTTTGTCTTCATTGTATTTATTTTCTGTACTTTTATAAAGTGATAATCTGATTAGAAAATGCAAATAGTAGTCATATACTGTTTGATAAATAGTAGTAATATATTGTTTATTTTCTTTGACAAATAGTAGTAATATGTTGTTTGTCATTAATAATTTCAGAATATTAATTTGTATAATAGTATTACAGAAAATTATTGTGTAGTATTTTATTTTTCTGGTTTTAATAACTAGAAAAGTAAAATTAATTTGTGTTTTGATTTTTCTGATTTTTATAATTAGATATTATAGCTACTACAATTGAAAGTGGTCCTTCAATTGCTATAACAACTCCGATTCCTATCTAGAACCATATTCAAGTTTTAATAAATCATGGTGAAAAATCAAAAAAATTTAATAGCACCGAGTTTAAGAAATGACAATAGAAAATGATATTCTATCTTACAACTCTAAATTTGGCTCGATTTCTCCGTGAAGAGGCTCTAGTACCAAAAGAGGATGAAAGTGATCAGCAAGTTATTCCTACTGTAGACGCTTGGAAACATTTTGATTTTATGTGTAAAAATTATATCCTCAATGGCCTTTGACAACATGCTGTATAATGTTTACAGCCCTCTGAAAACAGCAAAAGAATTGTGAGATTTTTTAGAGAAAAAATACAAGACAGAATGTCGGCACAAAGAAATTTGTTGTCACTAGCCCGGTTTCTCCGTGAAGAGGTTCCAGTACTTAGAGAGGATGAAAGTGATCGGCAAGTTGTTACTGCTGTAGACGCTTGGAAACATTTTGATTTTCTGTGTAAAAATTACATTCTCAATGGCCTTTGACAACATGCTGTATAATGTTTACAGACCTCTGAAAACAGCAAAAGAATTGTGAGATTTTTTAGAGAAAAAATACAAGACAGAGAATGCCGGCACAAAGAAATTTGTTGTCAGTAAATTTCTGGACTTTGTTATGGTATACTCTCAAACGGTAATTTTTTAAGTTCAAAGTTTTCAATTAATTTTGCATAATATTCATGCTGAAGGTATGTCTCTGAGCGAGTCTTTCCAAGTTGCTGCGTTAGTGGAAAAATTACCACTAGCTGGGAAAGATTTCAAAAATTATTTAAAACATAAACGCAAAGAGATGACCATGGATGCATTCATTGTAAGACTAAGAATTGAGGAAGATAACCGTAAGACTGAAAAGAGGAATGATAAGAATCTCATTAAATCCAAAGTTAATGTGGTTGAACATATGCTCAAACCACATAACAAAAAGAGGAAGTTTGCTGGAGATGATCCTAAACAAGGCGACAACAATGGCAATAAGAAGTTCAAATGAAAATGCTATAATTGTGGCAAGATTGGACATCTAGCCTCTGATTGCTGCCGCTCTAAGAAGGATCGCGGAAATATAAGTAAGAAGATAACCAATCAAGCCAATGTGACAGAGTTAGATTACATCTTTGACGGGGTAAATGACATCAATCTCTTTACTGTGGTGTCTGAGGCTAATTTGGTTGGAAATCCCAATGAATGGTGGGTTGACACAAGAGCAACTCGACACATTTGCGGGGACAGAAATATATTCACTACTTATAATGAGGTTGCAAATGATGAGCAACTTTTCATGAGAAATTCATCTATTTCTACCGTGGCTTGACAAGAGAAAGTGATCTTGAAGACGACATCGGGGAAGAAACTTATCCTCAACAACATGCTGTATGTACTAGACATCCGGAAGAATTTAGTTTCTGGTTCTTTCTTAAGTAAAAATGGTTTTAAACTTATATTTGAGTTTGATAAATTTATATTAATAAAGAGTGGTATGTATGTTGGTAAGGAATACATGAGTGATGGTCTCTTCAAGTTAAATGTAATGACTATTATACAAAAACTTTCTATTAACAAGAATAACACATCTTTTCCTTATATTCTTGAGTTAAATTTATGGCATGGTAGATTAGGATATGTAAATTTTGATGCTTTGCGTAGATTAATTGGTTTGGGTTATATACCAAAATTTGAAGTTGATCCTAATCACAAATGTGAAATTTGTGTAGAAGCAAAACTAATTAAGGCTCCATTTAAATTGGTTGAAACAAAAACCGAACCTCTAGAATTAATTTATACTGATGTGTGTGATCTTAAATTTGTTCAAACTAGAGGAGGCAAAAAGTATTTCATAACATTTGTCGATGATTGCACAAGATATTATTATCTATACTTACTTAGAAGTAAAGATGAAGTCTTGAAAATGTTTAAACTTTACAAAACTAAAGTTGAAAATCAACTTGGTAAAAATTATTTAAATAGTTAGAAGTGATAGGGGTGGTGAATATGATGTACCTTTAAATGAATTTTGTGCACAACATGACATTATTTACTAAACTACAGCACCCTATTCTCCACAACAAAATAGAATTGCTGAAAGGAAGAATAGAACCCTTAAAGAAATGATGAATGCCATGCTACTAAGTTTAAGCTTATCGCAGAACTTGTGGGGTGAAGCAATTTTGTCTACTAATTATGTTCATAACAGAGTACCCCACAAGAAAACGAACAACACTCCTTATGAATTGTGGAAAGGTCAACCACCTTCCTACAAATACTTAAAAGTGTGGGGGTGCTTGGAAAAAGTAGAAGTTTTTGTTCATAAAAAGACTAAGATATGACAAAAAATAGTGGATTGTGTGTTTATTGGTTATGCTCAGAATAGTAGTGCATATCGATTTCTGACTTATAAATCAGAAATACCTGATATACATGTGAACACTATTATAGAGTCAAGGAATGCTGTGTTTTTTGAACATGTTTTTCTTTACAAGAAAGGATAGGAATTAAGTTTACATAAAATAACTTATGATTGTACACAAAGTCAAAAGAATAATGGCCCCGTTTGGTAGAGCTATGGGAAAGTAATTATAACTTATAGCCTAATAGCTTATATAGCTTATAGTTGTGAACATAAGCTGATTTTTGACTTATAAATTAAGCTTCTCCTCCCCCACTCAAAGAATAAGTTAATTTTTGACTTACAAAAGGTATAAGCTGTATTGTTAAGCTGAACCAAACACATCAAAATTGCTTAAATTAAGCTAAAAGCTGACATAAGCTGGAAATAAGCCATACCAAACAGGGCTAATGACAATCAAACACAAGAGACCAGTAATGGTCATAACCAACAAGATTTAACTGATGATGAACCAAGACGAAGTAAGAGAGTAAGAACATCAAAGTCCTTTGGTCTAGATTTTCTAACATACCTGTTAGAAAATGAACCTCAAAGCTTTAAGAAAGCAATGACAGGTCTTGAAGCACCTTTGTAGAAAGAGGCTATTAATAATGAAATTGAATCCATTATGCAAAATCATACTTGAGAATTGATGGATCTTCCACTCGGTTCTAAACTTCTTGGATATAAATGGATATTCAAGAGAAAAATGAAAGTAGATGGTTCAATAGACAAGTATAAAGCAAGACTTGTGATAAAATGTTACAAACAAAAGGAAGGTCTGGACTATTTTGACACATGTTCCTCTGTGACAAGAATAACATCTATCCGCATGCTTATTGTCATAGTAGCATTGTATAATCTAGAGATATATCAAATGGATGTCAAGACAACTTTTTTAAATAGTGATCTAAATGAATAGATTTATATGGAGCAACCCGAAAGGGTTGTACTGCCAAAGTAAGGAAAAAAAGTTTGTCGACTTATAAAATCTCTTTATGGATTAAAACAAGTACCTAAGCAATTGCATGAAAATTTTGATCATGCTATGCTTACTAATGGGTTTAAGATAAACGAATGTGACAAGTGCGTCTACGTTAAAAACACTGTTATGCTATCGTTTGTCTTTATGTGGATGACATGCTAATCATTGGAAGCAGTCAAAACATGATCAAATTAACTAAGCAAATGTTAAACAAAAGATTTGATATGAAAGATATGGGGGTCGCATATGTAATATTAGGAATGAAAATTACTAAAATATCTGATG